AGCTGCCGCTCACAGAAGCAGCCGGCCTTGAGATCCAAGGTGCTTGACTGAGTTTGGCAACTGAGAACAGCAAGATAATCTATTTGTTACTTTAACTTTCTAATGCATTTATAAATGTAGAGTATAGCTCTTTGCAATTCCATGAAACAAGAAGTATAATAATTGTAAAATAGGCAGGGCTCAGTACCAAAGAATATTTATTAAAAGAGCATGAGGTACTGCCATACTTAATCAGCTGAAAAGATAATACTCCTGGAATATCTGGATAATCATACACATTCTGTGCAGCCATTGAATTTCAGTGAAATGCAAATAACAGGATTGGTACTCCCTGAGAGGTCTAGATATTGTCCACCTGTCCTCACTGTGTGTGCATACTTTATATACATCTTTAGCAACAACAACTTTGACCTTGCTTGGGATTACGAGTACTTATATTTTATTCAAAATTAGCCAGCAATGTATATTTACAGAGCTATGTTCAGGTATATGAGATTCTAGTTTATTACTTTATATTCATTTGTTTATTGGTGACTAGTCCATGAAGTTATTTAGAGTGCTGAGACTGAAGGATTATATGTCCATTCCTTATCTGTGTGAATTTCCCACCACTCTTTGCCTTCTTGCCTGAGGTCACACTGCACTCCTTAGAGTAAGACTTCAGGTTTTTTATAATTTCAGTTCCTACAACCTGGAATGTTCTTTCACTGGGTACTCATAATAGTTGCACTTTATTCTGACCTTAGTTCAAAAATTACCTTCTCTAAAAGGCCTTCCCTGATAACTTTTATCTGTTTTCTTCATAACCCTCATTACCACCTGACATTATCCCATCTGTTTGTCTCTTTGATTCCCTAAAAGTTATAATCTCTTTTAGGTTACATGTTTTTCTTTGCCCTCATGTCTAAACACAACAACTCTCTCATACAAACTCTGCAAGAATAACTTTTTCCTCCTGGATTCACTGCTGGAAATAGAAAAACACTGCCTGATACAGAGTAGTCCATCAGAAAATATTTGTTGAGTCAGTATAGACTGTGTGACTTGACACTGTCACATTTGTTCATTACTGGTTGCATGTTTAATTCTAGTCTGTTTTCTCCTATTTCCTATACTTGGGTTTGGATGATTCATCCAACTAATATGGCTCTGGAGAGGGATTCACCTGTATCCATCCAGACCAGTGGACAGACAACCAGTGTATACTAATTAGGCTTTTTTATATCTGCTATCAATTTTGATTGGCTGGTACCTATGCTGCCCTGAGTGTTACTGAATGTTAAATATTTCTAGTTACCTTCACTAGTATCCCCAATATGCTTGGCACACGCTTTGAAAATATTTGTTGAGTAAATTAATAAATATATCCTATTGGAAAAAATACTACTATATCTTCCTTGTGCTGTGTTGGTGTATGCCAATGAGCAACATAATTTTATTTATTGATCTTACTAAGAGCAAATATGATTTATCTCTAATAGACCTCAAACACTGGAGTTATTTAGTAACCACTGTCTGCTCTGTACAAGAATGTACTTTTGGGCTTTCTTTCACACTTTCACATACAGTAGCATTGCTGTAGCACCCGTGATCTGTAGCAAGTAATTAACGTTCACTATGCATTCCTGCAAATACACACGCAAAGAGCTCATTCACTAGGAAAGATATAGTAGCCAGAAAAAATTATAAAGCTCCATTGTTCTCAAAAAGTGTTCTGCTAAATGCACCCAATATCTCTTTATCTGTCTTGATTGGCTGGAAGCGGTCCATTTCCTTTGATTGTGAAAAATTAATCCTTACTTTATATATTTTGAAGTGAATCTCAGCACATGCATTTTCTCTAATTTTCAAGATCCCTCAAGAAACTGGCCTAACTTAAAGAAAATATAGAAATGTTCAAAATGAAAACCACTATGACTTCTTTTTACATATAGTCCATCTAATTTCACAAAAGTAATTGAACCAAAGGAATGAAACACATTTTCAATATAGCTTTTAATATCCATCATATTCAAATTATTCAGGGCATGGAGTAGACTAAATTTTCTAATATTGAAAAATATCTTTAATTGGGAAAAGTATGTTAAACGAAACTTTGAGTCCTTTGGCAAGGAAATCTCAACAACATTGGTAATATAGCTTTATTCACATGTCATCCTGTACCTTACTCAGAGCCACTGTGAGTTTCAATTGTTTCCTATAATTGCAAGAGAAATTCTTCAGGATGCACTGGCCTTAATCCAAAGAAAAGGGTAGAAACCAATTAAATGCTTAAAAGTTTTAAGGATAAATTATAAAGTGGATGTTAGAAATCTCTTTAACTAAAAATGTATGAATGATTTTTTAATATGCATTCTGGCTTGCTTCTCTGTTCTTTATCACTTATTCATATTCTATACATAAGAGTTAAACATACAAATTAGCCACTTGCAGTCTGCCTAGGAACACAAAGAAAAATGTGAGACGACTTATGAGCAGATTCACTTTAAAAAAATATTCCCCTTTGGTAGGATTTGGTTGATATTGCAAAATGCAATGGAAAAACAAATAAGGTGATTTATCCAGCTTCTGCCCTAGGCACTGTTCTAACAGTCTTTCTCTTCAGTGACCTCATTCACTCACAACTTCAGCTCTTGCCTCTATGCATATATGACTTTGCAGTCTTGTTCTAGCTTTAATGTGTTTTTTTTTTCAAAACTTCAAAAGTACTGTGAGTAACATCACTATCCGGATGATTCATCTGTCCCTGGAAGTCAGCATCCCCAAAGTTAAATTCACTGCATTCTTCCCATTTCCTCACATATGCTCAACCAGTTACCATTCAATAAAACACATATCCAGTATCAACTATGTCTAGCAAATGCTGGGCTAAATGCAGACTCTCCTAATTCTATTAATGATTCCACCATTCTTCCAGTTACTGAGGCTGAAACCCTAACCGTTTTGGAATGTTCCTTTTCCCTGTGCCTCCCTCCAGTACACCTATACACATGCAAGAGCTTATGTGTATGTGTACACACACACACACACACATATACCTTGTTGCCAAATCCTGGGATGTCATTTTTGCAATTTATCTTTAAAGAATTTCTGTGAATTCTCACAACGCATAACTGAGACACTTATTACTGCTTCTCTAGATTATTGCAATGTCATATCAGTTGCTTTCCTGGCAAAATCTATAGGCCTCAATTCATCCTCCTCCACACTGCTACTGGATTTATCTTTCTACAAAGCATGTTTTGCTCATTTGCCTGAAACCTTTAGTGCTCCCCATTGCTGTCTAACGTTCCTGGAAAGAACTCTGATCATATCACTCATCTGTTCAGAAAATAGCAGTGCCTCTGTTTCCTAATAAATTGGATCCAAATACCTAAGTCTGACACTTAATCTCCTCTACAGTATGACCCTCATCTACCCTTTTGGCCTTAACTTCCACTACCACCTACACATAACTAAGTTTCCAATGATCTCTGGCAACTTCCTTTGCCTCAACACATCATATGCTTTACAAAATGATATTGTGTTAAATCTCCCTCCTGTCCCCACTTATTACTGTCAACCCTCAAAACCTATCAAATGTATGTGATGTTTGACATCTGGGGAAAAAGGCTAATCCTTCAACATCTAATACTACTACCTTTGTAGAATCATCCTTGATCAATCCAACCAGTTTTCATTTATCAATCTTAAAACTATTTATTTTAAAGAGAAAGTATCTTTTCCCTAAGATGGCTAACAATCCACATGTACATTGTAAAAAAATATTTAAAAATGTAGAAATCAGGAGGGAGGGGAAAGGAGGAAAGGAAAAAGAGAATGTCATTATGTCCTTAGAATTATATTTACAAACAATATTAAATCTTTTAAAAACTAATTAAAAATTGAAACAAATTTTTAAAATGTAGAAATCATAAAGAAAATGTAAACCCTCTGAAAGCTGTGCACACTGTTAATACATTTGCTTTCTATTCTCCCAGCCCTCTCTGACCCCAGACATAAATGTATGCATACATGTAAACGTACACACAATTCAGATCTTATTATTTATACTGCTTTTATACCTGCTATTTCTCATTTGCTGTATCATGAGTACTTCTCATGCTATTGCATGATCTTCTGCAAAATGATATAATAGCCACATAATCTTGATTTATTGTGTCATCAGTTATTAAATTTATCCCTTCTGTGAATATTTAAATTAGTCACAATTTTATAACATTATCTTCAAATGTTATAATTGACAACTTTGTCATTTGGTTACATTCATACATAATTCATAGAAATTGAATAGTTAACTCAAAAGGTAAACCAAATTTTAAGACTTTTTGATAAATGGTACCACATTGCCCTCAAAAAGTCACTGTATTTTTCTTCTCAACAAAAATGTGTGAGAATGCCCATTTTCCTGTACAATGACCATTACTAGGTACTTTTTAATATCATAGCAATTTGAACCTAATTCAATTATTCTGCATAATATTACAGTTGCTTTATATGTGTACTACTACCAAATTTTACCCTAATAGGAATCTAGATTTTAATACCTGCAGCAGCTATCATGAGGTTTTATGCATATTAGGTGTTTAGGAAATATTTGCTGAGTTAAATCAGAGCCATAGAGAAGGCCTTCCATGTTCTCGTGGTAGCCTATCCACTACTATTCTGTAGTAGTTTCCATATGCAAAGTAGAGTTACACAACTAAAGAAAATGAAATAGGAAGACGCCACAGCATTGACTAGCCAAGTCCAATCCCACTCTATCTGATAACAAATACTGTAACTTCTAATTCAATCACTCAGATCCTTTTAACTTCCAAGTTTTAACAACAGCTACTTGGAAAAGTAGCTACATGTGTGGTGTAGGTACAAACTCCCAGTTGCTTCCCCTCACTAAAAGTAAACTAGCTCGGATATTTTTAGGTACAAAAGGGAAAGTTGGTTTGGAGACCTTCCGGAGGAGTCTGGAATAAGTTAATGTATGGCTTGTTTTCTTGCAGCAGTGCATTTGTTCGGCCTGACTTGGCAGTTGCAACCAGTTGAAGGACAGCTCTACGAAAATGGAGTTAGCAAAGGGAACAGAGGCACTGAGTCCATGGATACTACTTACTCTCCAATTGGAGGAAAAGTTTCCGATAAATCAGAGAAAAAAGGTACAGTGACCAAAATGATTGATTGATTATTGATTACTTTTCTTCTAATTTGGTCAATAGGATCATACCTGGGATGGCGTCACTTGACATTAAATTTCATGATCACTTAAAGGATGTATTCTATATGGACAGGATAAATACATGTAAATATCTCAGGAAAGCAAACTTCCCTTTTCTCCAGTGCCTTGAATATAAACCAATAAACTTTCCAAATATGTTGACAATTTTGAAAATAAATATTTACAGATTTAAAGTATCAGTACAATGGAAATTGCTTTTTACATATAACTACCCTAAAGCAACATGGGATTTTGATTAAGTTCTTTGTGACCAAGCCCAGCATTTTTATATAACATTTTTACAAACGGAATAGAGAAATCTCTAATGTTTACAATAAGAAAAGCTCTTTCCACTTGATGTCAGGGCAAATATTTATGTCAAAATGGGAGAACATGAATTTTTTCTTTTGTGGAATATGAATTCTTCCTAGTTGGGGAAAAGAAAAACATCACTTTGAGTCCTGAATTGTTAAATTTAACCAGTGTAAGATATTTACAATAAATGTCACAATACCAACACTCCCAATATCATATTCATATTGAGTGATCTACATTGTATATACAAGCATTCTAAATAGCAGTAAGTTTGTGCTATGATTTCTCTTGAAATAGCATTCAGCACAAAGTGACTTAAACTATGTAAAATTTCAGAAAGTCAATTCAAAAAGTGGAAATAGAGAACAAAATGTATAGCTACCACTATCCTAAGTATTTTTAGGAGATCAAAAAATGTATTATGATTTACTTATTTATTTATTATTTATTAATGACCTAAATCCTATCTCCAGGAAGCTGAACAAGTTTTAGGGGTAGTAAGAAGATTTATTTTTGTTTCATTAGTTGCAACTAAGATACTTTATTTTATAGATGTTTTTATTACTATTCTTCACTTGTCTTTGTTAATTCCTTTTTGGGGAACTTATTTATGGATTTTTTGGTCTTTGTTTTTGAAAAAACAACTTTACTTTGGCCCATGCTTCAGTAAAACCTAACGCTTAGGTTTCTGAAAAATAGTATATTTTGTTCTAGTTTTTAGTTTTCATGATGCAATTTGCTTTGCATCCTCAATTAGTAATACTTGGTTCTTACCTGAGCTAATCATTGTCAGGTGTTTCATTGTTACTTTGGGAGACAGGGTAGGGTGGGTGGTAGAAGTACAGGGGTCAATGGTGGCAGAGGAGACTCTAATACACTCAGATTTTCTCCTTACTTCTCTTACTTGCTTTTTCTCCCTTACTTTCTCTCCTATTATGTATGAAGTGACAAGAATTGCTGTTTGACATTGTCTGTGTAGGGATTTCTTGCAATTTACACTGGAAATATGAATTATCTATTTGAGGAAAGTGAAACATGTTAAGAGAAGGTCATAATGTAATTGTCATGAGTATATTTAATTTTGTATTTAATTCAGATCAGTTATAATTCATTTCCATGGAGTAGGTTGATGATGATGGCTAAAATTTGTTAAACAGTTACTTATGTGCCAAGAATTATTCCAGACAGTACATGGTTTATATATTGAAGGTACCATGGTGGCCCCCATTTTCTAAATGAGAAACAGAAAGGTTGAATAACTTTCCCAAGATCACAGAGCTAGAAACTGGTAATCTGAGTATAGTGCCTAGTCTCATGACTTCTATACTATACTGAAATCTGTATGTGAAACATATATGAAAAAAAACAAAAGATATTTTATACAATGGAAGCAAATCTCCAGAGTCTATTCATGACAGATTTTTAGAGAAAATCTATTTACCTGTATTTTAATGTGTTGTGACAGTTTTCATAAATGAAAAATGTTTTAAATTTCTGCTCAATTATATCAACAAACAGGGAAAGTGATTTCAATTTAATACTTTATTAAGAAAAATCATTATGAGTTGATGCAATATACACCAAGTTGTTACCTTAAAATGACTTTTTATGGAAGCTTGAATAAAACCTTAACTGTAAATGCTTATCATGGTTCTGCTATATTAGGTCTTTAGTACCTATTACTTCCCAAGTAAAAGCACAGCTTTTTTTATATTGTCGTGTGCAGACTAAACCAAACCATGAAGAAGATATAATACAATAGGATATTTTTAAATGGTCAGCTGTATCCTTCTATGATTTTCTAGATAACGCATACCCTTTAAATACAGTCCTAGAAGCTTGCCTTGATGCTGTATTGCTAAAAGATGAAACTGACAACCAGATCATTCTTTTTTTTTAACTTTTATTTAATGAATATAAATTTCCAAAGTACGACTTATGGATTACAATGGCTTCCCCCCCATACCGTCCCTCCCACCCGCAACCCTCCCCTTTCCCACTCCCTCTCCCCTTCCATTCACATCAAGATTCATTTTCGATTATCTTAATATACAGGAAGATCAGCTTAGTATACGTTTAAGTAAGGATTTCAACAGTTTGCTCCCACACAGAAACATAAAGTGAAAAATAATAGATTATTTTTTTTAAATGATGATGAAATCAGATCAGATCTATTGTCATGTTTAATCCCAGTGAGAGTCAAGTTGGGAATTGATAATTTCTTTTTTTTTTTTACAGAAGATCAGTTTAGTATGCATTAAGTAAAGATTTCAACAGTTTGCACCCCCATAGAAACACAAAGTGAAATATATTGTTTGAGTACTCGTTATAGTATTAAATCTCAATGCACAGCACATTAAGGACAGAGATCCTACATGAGGAGTAAGTGCACAGTGACTCCTGTTGTTGACTTTACCAATTGACACTCCTGTCTATGGCATCAGTAATCTTTTTTTACATTGTTCTTTAGTCTCCAAGAGGATTTAGCATTGTAGCACTTGGCTTCAAATACTGACTGTGTCATTTAGTGACTCTACAACCTCAAGTAATTGAGACAACCTAGCTGAACCTGTATCCTTATCTGTATTATAAGGATAATAATAATATTGCCTATCTCATATGGCTGTAATGAAGAATAAATGAGAAAATTGATGCATATAGCATAGTCCATGGCACATTGTTTAATTTGGCAATAATTACTATTGAATCCAAAGACTGAAAAATTATCTTGAGTTTTCTAAAATTCACTGATGTCCAATTGGGTCCCACAGATCCTGATTTCAACCTGTTATTAACTTTTCTATGAGTAATGGCCTTCTTGGGATTTAAATGATTCCTTTCTTTAAAGTTTGTTCCCTCTCCATTTACCAATTTACCGACTATTATTTGGAAATTATCATCATATGATAGATAAATACATCATTTTTAATAAATTAAATTCAATTGACATTTTGAGCTTTGATTATTGTTTATAGCCCTTGTCTCTACTGTTGAAGAACAGTGGTTATTTTCTTACTATTTGTTGAATTCTTTACTTAGTGGAGGGTTAAGCTTATGATTATAAAATAAACTGAAATTATGTCATTGTAAAAATCAAAGAATAAGAGAGGAAGGAGAGCAGAAGTGTGGACGGGAGGAAGGGTAGGGTGGGAAGTACCACTATGCTCCTAAGTCTGTATATATGGAATACATGAAATTTGTATACTTCATATAAATAAAAAATTTTAAGAAAATAATGTCAACTGGAATCAGATGCCCATTAACAGTCATTATATGTATCTGCTTCTTCTTGGAAGATAAAATTCTCTCAACTTTTAGTTATCTAAATGAAAGAAAAAAGAATATTTGGTTATAGCTATTTGGTATCCTAAAATGTTTAAGTCCACTCTAGCGTTTAACACGTAAGAATTGAAGACAACTGCAAGCTGAAATTTACCAGAAGCAAATCCAAGTTGTCTGTGCTAAGTAAACTCGGAGTTAAAGGTGTTGTACTAGAACAGCCCAGAACTACCTTAGTAGCTGACAAACTAACGGTAACTCTTTTTGTTTAATCAGCAAACATTGTATAACAACTACTTTAAACAGAGCAGGGGACATGAACAAATAAAAGACTTTACACCTAGACCTGAGTCATGTAAGATCCATTCATAAAATTAAATATAACTACCCTGTAATTTAGCAACAATTACAGGATATTAAAATGCTAAAGAGTATCAAATACAACATCTTTTTTTAAAAGATTTTATTTATTTATTTGAAAGACACAGTTACAGAGAGGAAGAAGCAGAGATAGAGAAAGAAGTCTTCATTCCACTGGTTCACTCCACAGATGGCCACAAAGAGAAGCCAGAAGCTTATTCTGGGTCTACCATGCAGGTGCAGGGGTCCAAGCACTTGGGCCATCTTCTACTGCTTTCGCAGGCCATAACAAAGAGCTGGATCAGAAGTGGAGCAGCCAGGACTCAAACCGGTGCCCATATGGGATGCCAGTGCTGCAGGTAGCGGCTTTACCCACTATGCCACAGTGCTGGCATAAGATGAAGATGAGGTCCAGAAAAGTAGAGATTGCCCAGAGAACTGTGACTAGAAGAGAGGACACCTTGTCCTACATTTCATGTATCTTGTCTATTATTATAATAGTGTAGCAAAAACTAAATCTATAAATTGCTAAAGAGGTTTTCAATAAGGTTTTCAATAAGGTTTTGCCCAAAGCAAAAATGAGCAAGTTAGGAAATTAATTTTATTCAGGCTATCATAATAAGGAAGTTTTTCATAGGAAGGAGTAGGTAAGTTACATATGGGATCAAATGTGGGTGGGAGTGTTTCGCAGTCAGGGGACAACACAGTCAGCAGGCAGTCCAGGAAATGTGTATGTCTTGTCTGGCTAGTTTCAAAGGAACAAACAGTTCTAATCTCAGCTGATTGTTGTTTTTAATAGAAATGCAATCATTGCATTTTTAAAATTTATTTGAAAGTCAGAGGGAGGGAGAAAGGGAGGGAAAGAGAGAGAGAGAGAGGCAGAGACAAAGAGATCTTCCACCCACTGATTTACTCCCCAGATGGCCACAAAGACCCGATCTGGGCCCATCAAAAGCCGGGATCCTGGAGCTTCTTCCAGGTCTACCA